ACAAAATGTGTCCTGTAATGTCATGATGTCATGCTCCGTCCTTTCATATTTGTGTCACAACATTGCATGAAAGGATGGAAATTGTATCAGAACATTGCAATTCATGTTTCATCACTTGTTATAATGGGAAAAAGGAATAACCTTGAGGAACAGGAGAAGCCACAACCAAGACAACAGTCAGATAAAAGAAATCTGAGTCCAGGGCAGAAAAGTAATTTGAGAAAGCATCTCAGACAGGACCCTCCCTGGTTTTTACAAAGATAAAGGGAGGGAGGGGGCTATTCTGTTACTGTAACCTTATGATAAATATTAGCATTAAGAACTTTGGTTTCCTAGTCTGGTCTACCTTGAAGGGCTGACACTTAACCACCTTGCAGATGCCTATGGCTGGGAAGCTACAACCTAGCGATTAAAGGGAAAGGATAGCAGGTCAGTGGCTGGCTTCCCTATATTTCAGGTTGCAGAGTCATGAAGTATGTCAAGGTGACAGTGATGTTGGCTCTCTTTAATGCTGTATCTGTTTCTGGTAAAACATCCATTATATAGGATTTAATCCAGAACAAAATGCTGATCTGATATGTAACATGCAGACCTGGCTAACAGAAGAGGGAGGAATTAATCTCTCCCCACTTTTTCTAGCAAGCAACTCTGTGGTAAGCAGGCTAGTATTGTAGAGCAGGAAGATGGATTAGCCATGTTCTCTGGTGCTGACCAGAGGCTCCATATAGCATTTTGCTACTTTTAAGTATGTGTTCCTTCATTAAGTAGCCAGAACAATATAACAATACTGTTATGTACCATCCAACCTGCTGCCTAAGAGCCTTTCTTCCTGAATTAACCAAGGTGATCTTGGACATGTCAATGTATTACGCTGTATTCCATATCCTTGGGGATTTCAGTATCAATATCTTGACTGAGATTGCCCAGTCAAGAACTAGACAGAACTTCATATCTTTCATGATATCCAGCCCAACACATGCAGCAGGGCACACACTCATTTTTGTTCAGGTGAAACTGGTATTATGAAAGTAGAGGAACCATGATTTCTAGTATAAACCAGAGACCAATATAAACCAAAGCACTGGTTAAAATGTTCTGACTCTGGCGTCTGGTGAATCTGGATGTTTTCTGAAAGCATTTGTGGAATGTTCTTCTCATTTGTTGGAAATGCTGTTGCTGCCCTGGCTAATCTGTAGAATATGGATGGGCCAGAGAGTTGACAGTTTATCTTAGGCATCTTCTTTCTCACAGAGTCACATCATCTCCTTGGTTTACAATGTATGAAGTGGATGATTATCAGGTGGAACACAAGTGGAAGAGCTCTGGGGATAGATCAACTCTAATGATCTATAGAGGGAGTCCTATCTGAAGGCTTATCTGAACTTCTACTGTTTACTTCTTTACCTTCATTGTATCTGCGCAAAGCAGGTTCTATTATTCTTCTGTTCTGTCTGGGATCTTGTCCAAGATTTTGGAGGAAGGGAGCCAAAAGAGCAGTATGCTATGAGTACATTGAGGCAACTCATAGGGATGTAGCCTTAGTAGTTCTTCTTTCTGTTATTTTGGATTGAGGGTGCTTGTAGATATGTGTTCAAGTGTATGGCAGATAAAAGCTACCACCTGCTTACCTGTCAGCTCTCCTGATTGATGGAAGTAGCCATATGATTGAGGCTGATGATCAATACCTCCCTGCAGGAAGAATAAGTGGCCTTATAGATCCATACATATCTAAATTATATTGACTTTCTGGATCTATTTCATTTGATCTTTTGGCAAAATAATATATGGAAGGTATTTTGATCATCTTCATGGATAACCTAAAACATGGTAGGTGTGGTCTACTGCGTTTTTTGTTTTTGTTTCTGTTTTGATCTTTCGACCATTTTTAGCCCCATTAGCTGTGGAATCTTAGTGGACTGCCTGGCAAGATTATGCCTTATCACAGTTTTACAGTGGTTCTAGTCTCACCAGATCATGTCAACAAAATGGTGCTGGGGAAATACTGTTTGACAATTAGTCCTTTGACTTATGGTGTTTCACAGAGTTCCATGTTATTCCCTATAGTGCTCGATACTTATAGGAAACTGACTGGGAAGGTCATCTGGGATTTTGGAGTTGGGAGTCATCAATATGCTGATGATACTCTACTTTTTCTTGCCATCTAATTTTTTTATATATGTAATTCTTATTAAACATTTTAACTACAACAATAAAAGATAATACAAACTAAAAAGAAAAATAGAGAGAGTAAAAGGTGCAAGAAGGTAAAAAAGAAAGAAATAATAGAAAAGAAAAAAACTAAGAAAGCAACTTCCCACCCTCACTTCAAAAAGTATAAACAATTTCACTCTCTTCATCTCCTCTTAATTAACAAGTATAAAACTCTTCATCCCATAACTGAACTCTTAATTATAGGCAAGTCCAATAAGCAATGTCTTTTCCAATCCAGATGTCAGCAAAAAGTCCAAACAGAACCCTATAATATTAACATTATTTAACAAATATAAAGCTCATCATTCCATATCTCAACTCTTAATTGTAAGCAAATCCAATACACAAAGCTTTTTCAATCCAGATGTCAGCAAGTCCAGAAAGAACCACTCAAAATAACATGTCCCATTTCAACCCTGTTCAAATAAGCCAACTTTATGTTCCTTCCTTTTGCTTAAAACAATCTTGTTCTTTACTCCATTCAAATTATTATTAACCCTTGTTTCGAATTTCTTCAAAACTTTAGCAAACCTCTTTCATAAGTCCAGCAAGAAGAAACAATTCCAATTACTCTCTGGGATTGGCATTTTTATTTGCTTCTTAATTTTTAAAGCGTGATCTGATTTTTTTGTATATCCAATGACAAATTCTTGTTCATGCTGTTCTCCATAATCACTTCCAAATCTTTTTCTGTAACAGCTTCTTCTGGGAATGGACTGTTCATAAGAACATACAACATAGCTGACATTGTTGATTCAAGGTCCTGGTGGCATTCCTCAAAAATATCTCTGAACGCCATTATAAATTGCTTATCCTGTTATGTCTCCAGTATTGTCTTACATTCTAATTCCAAGGAAGCAACATTGCCTAAGTACAGTAATAGAGTAGATGAGGAAGAATATACTGAAATGAAATCCAAACAAGATTAAGATGTTGTTACTAAGTAAGAAACTGGATTGGGGTACAGTTGCAGCCTGCTTTGAGCAGTTTCACTCTTCCTGGAAAAGCAGCTCCTTGATTATCAGCTGTTAGCTGGATTTGCAATTGGCTCTTGTGATTAGGAGCACAATTCTGTCCATCAACCAATCATATCTCTGGACAGAGTTAGCAACAATTAGTCATGCTTTGGTTACATCCCATCTTTATTATTGCAACATGGTTCATATGGGGCTAACTTTGGAAAATGTCTGGATGTTGCGGTTAGCCTAAAACACAGCAACTAGTCTGCTGACTAGTGCAAGGTATAGGATCATCATATGCCTCTGCTGAAAGATCTGCACTGGTTGCCAGTTGCTTCCCAAGGACAATTTAAGATGATGGTATTGAATCAAAAATCCTAAGTGGCTTAAGACCTGATAATTTAAGGAACTGCTTCTCCCATTATGGACCTGTCTGATTGTTAAGATCAGAAGAGACCCTTTTGAAGGTGTCCCTTTTATCAGAGTCCCATCTTACTGGCACTCTGTTCTTTGTTCCTCAGCACTTTCTGGGAATTCACTCCCTTTGGAGTTGTGATTGGCCCCATTCTCTCAGTGTTTAGAGAATGTATAAAAACACATCTCTTTCTGCAGACTTTTAATTGTTACACAATTTCAGTATTTATCATTATTGTATTTTTAACATTCTATCTTCTGTTTTTAATTTTAAATTTTGTTAGGTGCCTGGAAAGCTTCACCCTCTAAGAAAAATTTAAACCAAGTGAAATTAAATTGCTGTCATTTACCTGAAATTATAGTAGTTTTGGAAATAATTACCTAAAATATCCTTTACTTGCTGTGTTGTTGATGTTGGTGTCAGAATGAGCTATAAAAAAAATGTTCTCCAGCTCATCATTTTGTAGCTTGTGATGTTTAAGAATAAAAGCTATTTTAGAAAGTCCAGATGAATACATTTGACTCTCTGTTCTGCAGTGTTTAGATTTAGCAACCATACGTTCTTCTGATTTCATTCTAACCAGCCTCAAATGTTGGTGGTATTTCTTCAGCTCAGAAGATTCCCCCTTTCCTTTACTGGAACAAGTACAAAGCACCAATATATCATATTACCATCCCATTTAACAGCTTAGTCATGGATAAAAGCAATGTTCCTTTCTAAGATCTGTCCTTCCTTGTTCTCACTCAAGCTGGATTTCATTTTCTGTTGACCACATGATTTTCCACAGTACTTATAGTTGCAGTAGTACATCCTAATACTCCTGAGGTCTCAGCTTGAGACCCATGAGGGATGTCTGCTTGTCAACTAAGAGCTATAAAAATGACAGACAGCAATAGGAAGAATTGCAATACAAGATTTGGCTATGTATATTAAGTGTTCATGATGTCCATGCAAAATATATAGCTTGGCACTGGGGAAACTTGCTCATAATACTTTGTTCAATACACGGTCCTTTATCCTAAGTGTTAAATTTGTGGAGTGGGAGGACTGGCAGATAGCACAGCTGTCTGCAAAATACCAATCAGCTAGGTTTTTGTGAGATGTAACAAGATCGCCTCACCTTTCCAGCAAACCCAGTTCCAGATGCAGCATTTACAATTTTTAAAAAAGAAAACATACTTTAAGAACAAATGCAAATGTTTGGTTAATTAGCTAAATACACATATGGCACTTTAGAAATAAATTTAAAAGAAGAACCTGAAGCACGAGGAGGAGAAGAGGTTGGTTTAGCTTTCAGATCCTCAATACAATATGCCTGACATTAGAAGTAAAAACCTGGGAATAAGTTCCTCGCCCCTGTGTGTAAAATGATGCCATGACTGTAGCAGTAATTACATATCTCCTATTTCTTATAGAAACTTCCCAGTTTTGGGCCCTACCTTGAACAACGAAAGAAGATAATAACTGAAAGTAAGCTGAAACTAAAAGAACAGAGCAGCCTCCTTTCCCAGCTTGAGAGAAACTGTTTTGTTCCAAAGAAGCCCATCCCAGCAGTGAAGGTAAGAATAATAAAGTTCTGCACAAAGTAAGAGCAGCCTCCTCAAAACAACGCTTTTGCATAGATGACTGTACTTCAGTTCTGTGGTTGTGTGGCTGGTTTATCAATAGCCTTAGAGATGTGTATTGAATTAGAGAAAGAAGGAACCCTACAAGCTTTGAGAAAAGTTTCCTTACCATGTGGAAGAACATACGCTTTTTAGCTAACAGATGCTCCCCAAGAGGTGGAACCCTAGCCTTGTAGGAATACATTTGAATTTTGAAAAATGAAGATTGTGTATGTTGTCAGGTTACTAAAACCCATTGTTTTTGTGTTTAGGCCGCTATTCAGATAACTAGAAAATGATATTTTTATTAGGCTATTTATATCTGACATGCAGGTATACAGGTGTATCAAAAACCAAGCTATTCTAAAATGGACTGTATCACCATGGATTGGTTTTGTGACTTACAGGGAAGCTAGAGTAATTTATACAGGCATTGCATGTTGGCCTCAGATGGAACAGAAGATGACCTGTGAAAGTGAGTCTTAGTTTTTTCATGTTGTATGATCCTTGGCACTTTTCTCTTATACACTTTACAATGTTGTAAAAGGAATAGTGACATATGGCCGATGTCTGGATGTATATCTTGATACTTCCTCTCTCAGCTGCTAGTAATTTACATAATATTGCTATTCCAAGCAATAGTCTTCTGATACCATTGTAGTTTCATGTCTTTTCTCTGTGTACATGAAAACACCAAACAAATATTGTTCTTTATTTATTTGGAGAGGGCTTGGTGCTTTCAAAGACACTGTCACCTTAGGGGTTTTACAGTTTTATTTTCCTTGCAGAAAAATATTGATGAAATCATCAGGGAGAAAAACACCTGCAGTTTCATTGAGGGCTAACTTTGCCATGGCAGATGAAACTGAGAATTGAGAAAAGATGTTGAGGAGAAGAGAAAGAGTAGATGAAGAGAGACAGAGAGAGAGAGAAAATCAACTAGGTTCATAGTAGGCATTTTGCTAGAAAAAAACCCTGAACAATTAGATGAACATGTGAACCAGAATTTAAACAGAGCAAAGATAGCTACCTGAAATAATGATTAAATGGGAAAGATTGGACAGAGATCACAAATTAAAAAAAAAATAGAAATAATAGTTTTTTAAAAGCACAAGAGCTGATTTGTAATCAATTATCAGCCCAATAAAATAACAATCAACTCAAAATCAAAGAACAAATCCCTGAAACAGTGAGGAATATAGTTTCAGAACACCAGCATTCCAACAACATATCTGTCTGTTACATTTATGTTCTACCTTTCCTTCAGGAGCCCTAGGTGACTTATTTGCACTTATCTTTATTTTATCCACACAACAGTCCTGTGAAATAAGTTAGATTGAAAGAAAGTGGCTCAAAGTCACCCAGCAAGTTTCCATGGCTAAGGGTAAATTTGAACATAGTTCTCCCCAGTCCTAATCTGACACCTCAATTACTACAGCACACTGACTTTTAAAATGCTCAATATCCTTCTGAATAAATGTGCCTTGTATCACCATTACCATTTAAAAATCGAGGCAGGGCAGATAGAGAGATTATTGTAACACCTATTGATTAAGGTTATTCCATGTGAAGAATTATTTTAAAAACTATGCTCCTGTGTTAAGTGATCCTGACCTCATTTCCCACATGGACAATTGTGCAATAGCATTTTAAAAAACATAAGAAGAGTCCTACTGGATGAGGCCAACAACCTAAATAGTCCAGCATTCTATATCATGCAACAGTCAACCAGAAACATTTAAGAAGCTGACAGATATGAACAAGAAGATGATAGTCCTTCTCCACTTTTGGTGCCCAGCAGCTGGAATTACCACTTATGATTCAGGAAGGAGAATACAGCCATCAAGATTAGTAACTATTCATAGACCTCTCCCCTAATGTGTGTAGCTCTGATTTATTTATTTCTGTGCCCTCAAGTCAGTCTTGACTTTTGGCGACTGCCTGAACTGCCTGCAGTTTTCTTGGCAACATTTTCAAAAGTGGTTTGCCATTATCTTCTTCCTAGGGCTGAGAGAGGGAGTGGTCCAAAGTTACCCAACTGGCTTTGTGCCCAAGGCAGGACTTGTGTGTGTGTATCTGTGCCTTCGAGTAAGTGTTGACTCCTGGCGACTGCCTGGGCAAGTCCCTGCAGTTTTCTTGGCAAGATTTTGGAAGTGGTTTGCCATTGCCTGCTTCCTAGGGCTGAGAGAGGGAGTGGTCCAAAGTTGCCCAACTGGCTTTGTGCCCAAGGCAGGACTTGTGTGTGTGTATCTGTGCCTTCGAGTAAGTGTTGACTCCTGGCGACTGCCTGGGCAAGTCCCTGCAGTTTTCTTGGCAAGATTTTGGAAGTGGTTTGCCATTGCCTGCTTCCTAGGGCTGAGAGAGAGTGACTGGCCCAAGGACACCCAGCTAGCTTCATGCCTATGATGGGACTAGAACTCATGGTCTCCCAGTTTCTAGCCTGATGCCTTAACCACTACACTGAACTGGCTCTCTTAAGGCAAGACTTACTCATGTTCTGATTCATGGTCTCCTGGTTTCTAACCTGGTGCCTTTAGCCACTGTATCAAATTGGCTTTCTGTCCTGATTTTAAGCTATCTAAATTGGAGTTTAAGTATATATTGTGTAAAGAAGTGCATCCTTTTATCAGTCCCAAATTTCCACGTATTTGGTTTTAGTGACTGGCAACAAACACTAATACTGTAAGAGGCAAAACACCAAAACTGTCCTTGTTTTCACCACATCCCTACACTGAGTCATACATTGCCTTTTGTTCTTTTAACTTCTCAACTGTCCATTTTTGAAGATTCCATCAACTCCATCCAACCACATTTTTTCTGGTTAGTTCTGTTTCTCCCCCTTTCCCTTCCCCTTAGCCCATTCACTTTTCCTTTAAAAATTTCTTTATAGTGCAATTTTCATTCATTCTCTCTGTTTGACCAAACTAGTTCAGTGTATTTCTTTCATACTGATCACTCACTTTTGTATTCAGTCTACATTCAGTCATTCTTAACCCTATCTCTTCTTGTTTTTCTACTTCTTAAGTTGTTGTTGTTCAGTCATTAAGTCATGTCTAACTTTTCGTGACCCCATGAACCATATCATGCCAGACCTTCCTGTCCTTCACTG